GTGCTTATAAATAATAAAGAAATTAAATATATTAAAATAAACTCACAAGTATTAATAAAAAAAATAATTGCCTGCTGCTCATTACATTTATTCATATACATAGCACAAAAATGAATATATGAACTTCTTATTTTTTATCAATGTTTACGCCGAATGTTTTTGTAAATATAATTGAACTGTTCTCTTTTCTTTTTGTTTTGAGAAAAACAACTATATCGCTACTGTTAGTGGAAAAGGTCATTCTTCGGGAATTTTTTAACCATGAACGTTTGATTTTTTTACGTTTGAATACAACGTGAAATGGATTATTTTTAATTGCAAACAAAACAGCTGTTCAAAAAGGTTTTTTAAAAGCAGATGTTAATTATTGTTAGAAAAATTTTGTGTTTTGATAAACTCTGATTTGTAAAATTTGCTAAAATATAGTTGTGTGTTTGTTTTTTTGAAATTACACTCAATAACTACTTTATTTACAAGTTCCCATTGTTATTCATCGTTTGTATTACGAGAAATACGTATGTGAAAATTTTCCATTTTATGCTATATCTACTAAAGGCGACTATTGTAGTCTACAAGTGCTATAAGTAGTCTGCTACTATGGAAAATAGCAGAGGGAAACAAAATATGGAATTATACTAAAAAATCTTAAATAAATAATGAGATTTTATGATTTACACTAATAGTAGCGATATGTTTATTTTTTTTAAACTTGGTCATTAATGAAATAACTACCTTTTCGGTTTCAGCGAACCCGAGCCTTTAAAATAACTATATTCTATATAAACTACTATTTTTACTTTCCTACCTATACTAGGTAACGAAAGTATTGCAGTCGGGTCAAATTTCGGATATGCGGTTTTCGACGGATCTATACCTTTCAGAGCCCCCTGAGACCGAAAAACACATTTTTAGCCATTGGTCAGTCTGTCTGTCTGTCTGTGCCAAGATTTTCTCGGGAACTACTGAACCGATTTTGTTGCTCCTTTCTTTATTTTGTAAGGTTTTGACTACTAAGGCCTGTGACAGAAATTCGGTGCTCCATTCGCAATAGCTTGCGAGCAATAAATGAAAAACATGTTTTTCTATAGACTGTAGCGCGAAAATGGCTTTAACGATTTTGATGAAACTTTCCTATAATGTTCTAATTATTGTCCTCTCCATTTTCGTAAATATACTAAATTCTCGAAAAAAAATTAGGAAAAAAAAGTTATAAAGAAAAGAAAAATGTTATGACTCCTAACTCCCTAAGCATATATTATACGGTAAAATTTGTAATAAAACTTTTGAAAGGTAATAAAATTACCAACAAAATAAAAAAAAATCATCAGAATTGAACCAGTATTAGCGATGACACAGCTTATACTATTTTTTACACATTTTTTAACTTATTACTTTCCTAATTATACTAGGTAAGGAAAGTATTGCAATCGGGTCAAATTTTCAGGAAAATAAATCTAGTTCAATTATTTTTTGTTTCTTCATGAACATATGTAAAGATATAAAAACTTTTCTGAAATAGGTAGGAAAGTCTTGTGAGCGGACACACCAGATATTTTTTTTTAATGGAATTTTCAAGTTCACAGATTAATTACAAAAGTTCTTTGAATATGAAAAAAGGGAATTCTTTTGGAATGAAGTACCCTCCTGCATTTCGATGCTAGTATTCATCACGCTATTTTCTGCTAGGGATATAACGAGTAGCTATAACTGCCTCGGGCCGTTCTATTTATATCTGAGAAATCCATGTTCCTTATTGACATACGGTTTAGAGAAACACTTATGAGTCTTCCCCTCCTAGAAGGCTGGTCAGTTCATTGGTGAAGTCGGACAGGTTGAACCGCACCTTATCCATTCACAGATCTCTTAACAAAATACTTCTACTAATAGTTTTTCAATTATAATTATTTCACATTAAAAGAGGCAAATACAGGAAACCGTAAATCGTAAGTTTTAAATGTTGATTGTTAAAAATAAGAAATAACTTCTTTCCTTTGTCACTTCTTTGTACTTCTGTCCTTCTTATTTATTTATTTTTTTTGTTCAACGATTCTAACAAAATAGGAAAATATATTCAGTAAAATGATAAAATCGAAACAAATTGGTCTCCTAAAATACAACTTGGAAGCTCCACGAGATTCGGTATTTTAGCATGACAAAGCTATCTAGGAGGATAACTGCCAGATCAGATAGTGGGTTAATTTATTTTCTTAATGACCTGAAAAATCTTTTAAACATAGAGTCCAAATACTGGTCTGTAGGACAAGTCAAGACCGTTTTAGTCGATTAAAAAAGATTTTATGTTTTCTTGGTTTTCATATCCGCCGACAGAGTAAATTAAATCATGAATCTATTTTTTATTGAACAAGGAAGAGTGAAATGAATTTTATTGTGAGGAAGGGACTCGTTCGCTATGGTCCTTAACAGGCCGATGGCTAAAAAAGAGTTATTTGTAATCAAGAGACTCTTGAACGAAAAAGATCTCTTGAAGATTGCATTACAAATGCTTATTCGGTTATAACTTTATCTAGTGATATGAAAGAATTTTGTATAAGTATGCGTTGCAAATGGAGGACAAGTTTCAGTAAAAAATTTCAGTAAACATTATTGGTTATTATTATATTACATTACAGATAATAAACTGATTACTGATCTACCACTTTAGGTTGAAGACCTGAAGACCGAACACGTTGAAACGTGGGTTCTGAACGTTGTGGATTCGATTCCCATAGTTTATTTATATCCATACTTATTTCTCGGTGGCCCCGGGAAATGAATCTTGACACTCCTACTCGAGTATGCGGCGGCAACTTTAAGGTGACTGTCAGTGGTTGGTCAAAAAGATCACAAGTTCTCCCTATCTATAGGAATACCAATATCAGTACTCCTTTACATATGGCGCTCTATCCCCTCTCCTTCCAGTCATGCATTCAATACTATGGTCATGCTACACTAACATTTTCTCCCCTCCAACATTTTTAAAGTGCCAGCGCCTGTTTGTATGTAGAGGTAGTATAAAGAGTTGCAACAGTAACTGATGACCTAAGATGTCTAAAATCTCAAAACAAAAACAGTCAGACAGAATCTAAAGATATGTTTAGACTGGTATTCCAAAGAGTGAATACTGGAATTATACTGCAAGTTAAATGAACCTTACTTATTTGATGTGATAACTTGGATTTGAATAAACTGAGGCTCCTCAATTAGCTATAATTTGCTGATATGCATGGCTTTAGTTTATTATTGGATGATTACAAAATAAAGTCTTGAATCTCACAAATCGTAGCAATTAATCCACTAGTCTAAGCAAGCGTCCAATAAATACAAGTCAGAGATAAGCTCTTCCCCAATTAAAAAAAAAAATCATTTGAAAACTGCCAATTATTAACTAATTCCTGTAATGTAGCGGTCGTATTTTACACCAGATTACCACCAACTGCTGGCACGCACCCGCCAATTTTGCCGAGGAGAATTATTTTTATTACACATTACTATAGTGTAAAAATGTATACATAAATTAGTTAATATGAATGTTGTAATCTCTGATATTGAAGTCTCCTTAAAGAAAGATATACCTATCGAAGCTTTAACTCATCAGTAATTGTTATAGCTCTAGGTGTTCATGTCTAACATCACGATTATTACACCTTGTCTGATACCATTCATCTTTTCTAGACCTCCCCTCATCCATCGAATCCTTTACTTTCAACATGCTCTGTTGAAACATTCTATTGTCATTTCGTTTAATGAATAGCTGCGTAAGATTTGTTATTGGTGCCCCGATGTACTCCCATGTCTCTCACCACTACACTGAGTTAAAGTGGCTCTTCCCCTCCTTTCAAATACAATATTTCCTAGGTACCTTCGTTTCTGAAATCATCAACAACCATCGTCCTTCTTACGCCTACAACCTTCTCCAATTCAAGTCCTCAGTCCATTCCCTTTCAACAAGATCTCGAACTTCTGACCTCTACATCCCTTCTCACGGATCTGCCTCATTTCATAACTCCTTTATAACTGGCAGAGTCATTTTCTGGAATTCCTTACCTATCAAAATTCGGCATTCCCCCTCCACATTCAAAACCCTCCTATTCCAATTCCTATCCCAAAAACAATCAGATACATGCTAAACTTTTAATATTATACATTTTTATTACATCATTCATCATCAAATGACAGTACCATTCCATACTGTAAACTTCACTAGGGATTTTAGAATAACTTCCTACTCTCAATGCCACTGAATGCATCTATTGTTTGTTTTTTTATTATTTTTATTGTTATACAAATAAATTTGTACCTATACTTACAATAAGATAATGATGTGTTTAGATATTATTCATTATTTAAATACTCTGACAGTTTATATTGTCAGATTTGTCTTTCCTTTGTTGGCAGAAACACAGCTCATTTTAAAGAAGAATTCAATGTATTTTTTATTATTTTATTTTTCAAGAGTGTAAATTATAATTTTTCCTACTGTACATAGTTTTAAGTGTTTTGTATATAGATTTTTTTTTTTTTTTTGTATATAGCTTTTTTTACTAATATTTTCTTTACTTTCTCTTTTTTTATTATTGTTTTATTTTGGCCAAATGTAGTCTTTTAATTATGTTCTATGTTGTTATTCTAAAGGAACTTTGTACCAGAATAAATTTATTTTCTATTATTATTATTATTATTATTATTATTAAACACTCTCGACTAGGCAAATTGTAATAAATCAGTCAGCCCATCAGAGAGCCCATTCGGGAAAACAAATTATCTGTTTAGAATTCGAGTATCATAATAATCTTGAGATTCTGTCTCAGGATTTCCTAGTCTTTCAATCTCTTTCTTTTACAGTTGCAGTTCCTTTTTAGTTTAAGAAACCATATTTTGATACTTAGTTACAATGATAATTTATGATCTGTGACAGATGTCGTTCTAATCTATTTTTATTATATAGACAGAGAGGAGGTAAAGAGAATTGTAAGTTAACGTTAAGGATGTGTAAGTTGCAGGGCGCCGATCGCCAGCATCGAGTTCATGGAGGAGCTGTCCGAGACCGGAGGGTCCAGCAGGCAGCTCACCCCGGGCCTCCGCTACCGCAACCTCGGCAAGTCCGGCCTCAGGGTCTCCAACATCGGCCTCGGTGAGTCCTCCAACCGTCTTAGCTAGCTAATAGTACACTACCACCTTTTAAAGAGAGGGTAAGTAAACTTTCAAGTCCTCCAACCGTCTTAGCTAGCTAATAGTACAGTACCACCTTTTAAAGAGAGGGTAAGTAAACTTTCAAGTCCTCCAACCGTCTTAGCTAGCTAATAGTACACTACCACCTTTTAAAGAGAGGGTAAGTAAACTTTCAAGTCCTCCAACCGTCTTAGCTAGCTAATAGTACACTGCCACCTTTTAAAGAGAGGGTAAGTAAACTTTCAAGTCCTCCAACCGTCTTAGCTAGCTAATAGTACACTACCACCTTTTAAAGAGAGGGTAAGTAAACTTTCAAGTCCTCCAACCGTCTTAGCTAGCTAATAGTACAGTACCACCTTTTAAAGAGAGGGTAAGTAAACTTTCAAGTCCTCCAACCGTCTTAGCTAGCTAATAGTACACTACCACCTTTTAAAGAGAGGGTAAGTAAACTTTCAAGTCCTCCAACCGTCTTAGCTAGCTAATAGTACAGTACCACCTTTTAAAGAGAGGGTAAGTAAACTTTCAAGTCCTCCAACCGTCTTAGCTAGCTAATAGTACACTACCACCTTTTAAAGAGAGGGTAAGTAAACTTTCAAGTCCTCCAACCGTCTTAGCTAGCTAATAGTACACTGCCACCTTTTAAAGAGAGGGTAAGTAAACTTTCAAGTCCTCCAACCGTCTTAGCTAGCTAATAGTACACTACCACCTTTTAAAGAGAGGGTAAGTAAACTTTCAAGTCCTCCAACCGTCTTAGCTAGCTAATAGTACACTACCACCTTTTAAAGAGAGGGTAAGTAAACTTTCAAGTCCTCCAACCGTCTTAGCTAGCTAATAGTACACTGCCACCTTTTAAAGAGAGGGTAAGTAAACTTTCAAGTCCTCCAACCGTCTTAGCTAGCTAATAGTTCAGTACCACCTTTTAAAGAGAGAGTAAGCTGAACACCATAACCTTACCATCCTCATCCTTCTAGATTTTTCCAAAGCCTTGGAATAACCTTCGATCAAACGCTTTCCTGGAAAAACCATATATCCAACATCTTCCATTTCCACCTTAAAACACCTAAACTACTTCCATCACTTATTTCCCCTTGAAACCCGTAGGCTCCTGGTCACTTCACCTGGTCACTCTGGTGATCTTAATTTTTCCCCACTTTGACTATTGCTGTACGGTATATGGGGGCGTCTCTGGCGATCTCGAGGCGAAACTAAAACGCTTGATAAATTGCTTTGTAAGATTCATTTTCGGAATCCCAAGGGACGCCTCTGTTTCCCGTTTTTTATGTAGAGTTGAAGTGGCTTTATCCTTCCTACCGCCGTAAGTATTTCCTGGCATCCTTCCTTCCTCTTTCAAGTCATCCAATCCCACCGATCTTTATACATCTCCGAGCTCCTCCAATTCAAATCCTCTGTTCGCTCCCATAATACTCGTTCCAGGTCTTCTGATTTATACATAAGGGCCCACTGAACCGCTGCTTTCGACAGATCGTTCATTATCCGATCCTCATCCTTATGGAATTCCATCCCTTCCCACATCTGTCAATCCAATACCCTTCCTACCTTTAAATCCCGCCTGTTCAATCATTCCTTATCCATCCAGTCCCCATAAAATTGTAAATAGATACCACTGTAAATATTTATATAAATTATTAGTTTGTTCTTCATTATTTTTACTTAATTTTCTATTTTGTATTATTTACTTGTTTAAGTTAGAAAGTAACTTATAATTTTTTAATATGACTATTTCATTACTCAATATTTCTTTTTATGTATCTCTGAGGCTCCTTAGCCCACCTTATGTATTATACTAAAGGGACTCGTCCCAGAATAAATAAAGTATTATTATTATTATTAATTAGGAATCTAAGTAGTTATTCATACAGTTTTCACTATACAGTAGAAGAAAAAAAAGTGTTTAGAAGATAGCTTTCTGGAACTTTAACCAGAAAAATTTAAATAACATTAATACTTTTCGATGACTTCGACTTTTAAGTCATGAGTTTTCTTCGGCAGCTTAGGGTTGTTATAGTTTGGTTCGTTGAGTAGTGATCGTTTGGACCTCTCTTCTTCGAGATAGCCAGAGTGTTCATTAACCAGAAGCGATCACATTTCACTCTCTCATCAGGAACTCTACTGAAGGATGGTTGGCCATATTTTGCTTCAATCTTCCACCCAGTTTTTTTTATGGGATTGGGGATTATCAGCCCTATAACCAATCCCCAAACTGGAGGACCAGGAGCTATTATATAAGTTGTTATAAGTTAGATAGTTGTCTAAATTAAGGATACTTACCCTACCCCTAGCCACTAGCTTCGTTCACCTCTGTCTTGGACGGTGCCTTTCCAATTTATTACGATGTGTAAAGCGTCGTTCTTTATCCTATCCATCCAACTGAGCTTCTGCCGCCTTCCTCTTCGTCTAGTTCCTATTACTATTTTTCTAACACCATTTTGTTATGGGGTGGTCGAGCGAGTTAAGGCGCCTGCAAAAATTTTATATCAAATGTTCAAATCCCTTTCGCGGGAATTAATAACACCGAAAAATTGATTTAAAAAAATAAATAAAATACTTAACAGTAAATAAACGGTAGATGAAACAAGAATAATTGAAATGCTTTGCCACACCGAAGATTCAGTGCCAGTATCTCCAGTTGTCGCCTTCCCAACTTTGCTTCAGTCAACTTTTTTGGATGTTTATAAATTAATTCACTAATCAACAGTCTAACATGACACTCCCTATTACAACCATCCCACTCTTCAATTATATTTGCTGATAAATGTCCTGTAACAATGCCGAGAAGTGAAGCATCCTTAATTTTTACAGGTAACTTATTGTTCTATCAGGTGACAATTTTCTCGTTTTCCGTTTCAATCCTCAACTGCCTGGCTTAATATTTTTGAAATTAGTGACTTCCAAATGGTTTTAAGGTACATTTTGCTTTAAATAATTCACTTTCAAACCTTCTTCTGGTAAGAGTACCCTGTTTAGGCCTGCTTCTGGGTTTTGATTTGTTTTCAGAGAATTTTAAATTTAAAATAAAAATTAGATTTCTTGGTATGGTATAACTTGAAATTTGTTGGATTTGTAAAAGTAAGATTACTCGACGAACCAAAAAATATCGTGAATCGGAAAAAAAAAAAAAACAGATTGTACCTGTCTTTCTTTAATTTTTTTTTTTTTTGTTCTGTGACTCTATAAGACAGCTATCAAATGATGAATCTCTTTTTCTCTTTCGACGGTTACATAAAGTAATTAAATCAACAAAAAAGTGCTTGCTTATTAATATATAGATCAATCAATAATTCTAAAACTAATATGAAGCTGATCTGTTTTAGTAAATTTTGTCTACTTCTATTAGTATTATTTCTTTGTTTTACCTGCCGGAAGATTCGACGCTGATACTAATCCTTCCTGATACTACTCTTTATCGAATCACAGAATGAAATAAAATGAAAATATATTTTATTATTCTGGGACTTTTGTTCCTTTAGAACAAATTATAAGTACAGATTGCATGTCTATGTGGTCATAATTAAATTATATATTTACAATGAGTTAATTAACAAGAAAATTGTACATATATAAATAAGAAAGACATAGAAAACTAAAATGACCTAAATAAATTGAAGTAGTCTCTAGGGGTATTTAGATAGTTCTCCTAGGTATATTTAGTAATCAGTCGGATCAAGAAAGAATGTAGACCAATGCGGATTTAGACGAAAACGTTCGACTATTGATCAAATATTTCCTTACGGCAAATATTGGAGAAAAAATTAGAACAAAAGTGTAGTTCACCAGCTTGTATATCGATTTCAAAAAGGCTTACGATTTTATTGACCGCCAGAAACTGTATAATATTCTAATCGAGAGCAGGGAATTCCAAAAATATTAGTAAATCTAGTGGATGTGCTCGACGGAAACACTCAATTAAGTTAGAATTAGTAATAATTTATCTGAAAAGTTTGAGGTTCGTTCGTATTTAAACAGGGTGATTCCTTTTCGCCTTTCCTAAGGGAGGTAATGCGTACTGAAAATGTGTTGAATCTGAGTGGGACAACACTCGTGCGGATCATCTGGTCCTGTTAAGCGAAGACACGGAAACTATGAAACTAAATAAGACAACGTTAATGAAAGACAGTGAAGAACTAGGGCTCAAAATAAACACCGATAAGACAAAAATATATGGTTAGCGGCAAAAATGGCGAAATTGCCGGTGATATCGATATAGAAGGGAATATGTCTCATCACGTAGAGAAGTTTAAGTAGCTAGGATCTAAGATAACTAGAAAAAGACAAAATTAAAGAGGAGATTAAGGTTAGGCTGGAGGCGGGAAATGCTTGTTATTTTTCTGTGACAAAACTACTAAGCTCCCGCCTCTTGCCCGGGAACTTAAAAACTAGAATCTATAAAACCATTATCTTACCTACAGTTCTTTATGGATGCGAAACATGGCCGCTTACATTAAGGGATGAGCAACGTCTTAAGGTTTTTGAAAATAAAGTATTGCGTAGAATATTCGGGATGAGTTAACGGGAGAGTTCAAACGGTTACACATCGCCGAATTACGTGAACTGTATCCGGTTAATACAATTGAGATGATTACATCGCGGCGAATCAAATGAGCTGGTAAAATTTTTGGCCTTAGTAACGAAAGAATTCCTAAAATGTGTATCATCCTAAATTTGCTGTATCGAATGGTAAACGTCCGAGAGTTAGACCGAAGTGAAAGTGGGACGATTGCGTTACAGCCGATCTGAAGGGACTGCTTTGGTGCTTTGGCGAACGGTGGAGAGGTGTATAGTATAATAAGCGATTGGTGGTGTCGGCATCGAACCTTCTGGTTCGCTATGCTTTTTATTATTATTGTCTACCATTTTTTTTTTAATGAATGGAAGACTCTTAACTCCAAAAATTACAAACAAAAATCTGCACAGGAAATTACCTCAAACATTTATGAATCATCATGCCTTCAAGTACTGACTGGTAGAAAAAGATTTAGCTAAAACAATGTATCCTTCCATTATTTAATTGTAACGATTTATTCTAATTGTGAGTTTTTCTGTTTTAGAGGGATTAGGAAAATAAAAATACCACATTCATTTTCAATACTATAATTTAACAGGATCCCTCCACTTATTACTTTTTCTTCAAGAGTTTAACCACCTAGCGCTAATTACCTGTTGTTAAGTTCCATCACAAACCATCAAGTTACCAGACCTAAAGTTATATCAACTTATTCTCTTCTCATTTTATTCGTTTCCATTCCAGATTTTAATTAACTTAAGATGTTATTTTCTTAATGTTTCACATTCCTACATTAGAAATTCTTGTAAATTTTTCCCATGTAAATTTATATTATTTATTTTTGGTATACCTAACAGTGTCCCTTCTTTTTAACTATTTAGGGCAGAAAAAGTTTGATAAATTGTACTTATACCAACTTGTAGTTTGATAAATTATAGTATAACAAAATTGATTAATAAATCAGCTCTAATGAAATCCTATGTGTCTAATTCTAGGTGCTTGGGCAACCTTTGGTGGAGGCGTTACAGAATCTGAAGCTGAGGCTATTGTCGAAGCAGCTTATTATGCTGGTATCAATCTATTTGACCTTAGCGAAGCCCATTCTGGTCCTCGAGCTGAGATAGAGTTAGGACAAATACTGAAAAGGAAAGCATGGAAGCGTACCTCCTATGTTGTAACTACTAAAATATACTTCAATTCAAAGTTAGAACTGTTTCATTTATCACATAAATATACCCATAAGTTGAATATTTTGCACTCAAACATCTGGTAAAATCATTCTTATTGAGAAAACTAATTCATTAACATCTAAAATAGTAACAATATTACCTTTTTTATTTACTAAAATAAATAATATCTCAGCAAGAGAAATTTTTTCATTAAATGATTATAAATGTAATAACAAAAGTAATTGAAAAATAACTTTTGTAGATCAACAAAAAAGAAAAATATTCAACTTCTAGTTTTACTTTTAATTTAATAGTATAATATTAAACCATTCAATGAGTGAATGATTTCTTTAGTTCTTACCAGCAAATTTTAAACTGGTGAAAAATTCACTTTATAAAACAATTCAAAAATTGCCTCCATTTCATGAATAAATTAGAAGTTATCTAAGAGATTCAAATCTGGAACATATTCCACTCAGAATACTTAGTTAATTTAATCAAAACTTAACTTATAGTCTAGAATATAGCCTCAAAATTCTAATAAAGCTGTAAAGAACATATTTTCTATATCAAGCAAACAGATATAGAGAAACTCAAATTGAATTTGTTAATTCAGAAGCATTGGTAATTTTTATAATTATTAAAAACATTTAAAAAAAACTATTTTATACTAAAATTTTCATAGATAAAAATCTACAAAAAATATGTACCACAAACAATCAATCTTTACACTATTTACGCAATGTTTTTTCTTAAATTAAAATATGTGTCTATGAATGATGTACCCAGTCAGAACAAGTCTAAAACCAAAACTGATAAAAATTACACCTGTAATGTTTCTGAAATAAGCTATTCAATTGAAGATCATCAAACTGTTTAAAAAATATATTCATATAACAAATTCTAAAACATACTTAAATAATCTAGTCAATTTAACATGTTTTTCTTTTAGGTCTGAAGAAAGAGGCCTTTCCCGAAAACATATTATAGAAAGTGTAAAGGCCTCCTTGCAGAGGTTGCAGCTTGATTATATTGATGTTGTGATCTTACACAAATGTGATCCTATGTGCCCCACAGAAGGTAAAAAAAATAATGCAACAAAGTAATTTAATTAGTAAGTAGTAAGTATAAAATTATACTCTCTCATACAAGAGGGGATGGGACAAATAAATAAATCACTACTGAAAAAGCACCACCCATGAGCTTAATGATGGATGACTGTGTGCCTCCTCCAGAAAACATAATCAACTTTATCTTTATCTTTACCTCATACTTCATAGATACCCCCTTTCTAAAAATAGTTAACAAAGTACAATTATGCTAACTCTTGATAATTTAATTTAATAATATTGAAAACTATTATTTAAAAAAATGTTGGTTTGGTTGGCATTCTTTTGATATATCAGTTCATGAAATGTACTGATTCATGCAAAGCCACTGCAACCTCCAGAGGCTTTGCATATCCAATATCATTGCATCAGCTGCATTGATGTTATTTATTCAATTGGCAATACCTCACAGATAGGGTACAGGTTAATGTATTTCAACAGCACTACTCAGTCGAGTCTTGGTTACAGGCCTATAAAGTTAAATAGGGCAAACTAGAACTAATGTGATACCCACTTACATGAAAAAAAGATTGTCTGTTTGGATGTTTAACAAATTCATAATGTTTTTCTTAATGTTATGTTTGTTCATTCCAAAAACAGTTTGAAATTCTTTCTTATTATCGAACCTAGTTATAACATACTTTTCTTTTTCTTAAAGAAAATTTAAATCTATTAAAAAAATTTTTACACAATTTATTATCAGGGAATTAAACCTTATTTTATTTCCTTAACTGAATTGGTCAATGTTTTAACTATATTGTTCACCTTCATGAATGACCCATACATAAATTGTTCAATGTTTAAATTAATGAAGGAAGGAGATGTTCCGGGGTGGCGATCATAAATAGGCTAAATAGTGGTAAAACTATTTTACTAAAAGCCAACGTTTCGACCCGACTTTGCAGGCCTTCTTCAGGACTAGAATGGACAAGATTAAAGTTTAAATTAATGGAATAGTCAAAATAGACAAAAAAATGGGGTTGCCTATTTTTTTGAGCTATTTATTTATAATCATTAAAAATTATCTAAATCTTTACAAAACATGAAGTTGTCTTTAAATAGAATGGAAGATGTCTTTGTAAGATCATCATGAAAATCTCTGCATTCTTTCCTTGGACATTATTATTGTGATTGTAGAGCATAAAAAATAACAAATTTATATTATAAATTTAGAATAAATATAAAATAAATATAAAATATATTAAATATAAAATATTTTGTTTGTTTAGAGACTGTAAGGGCAATGAACCATGTGATAAGCCAAGGCTGGGCTATGTACTGGGGTACAGCTAAATGGACACCTGTAGAAATAATGGAAGCATATTCCAATTGTCGTCAATTCAATTGTATAACACCAATAATTGAGCAAGCTGAATACCATATGTTCTGCCGTGAAAAGGCTGAGCTTTACATGGCTGAACTTTATAACAAAATAGGTATGTATAAATTAAAACATATCCTAATCACAGAATAATAACTAAACTACTGCAAATTTATAGTCATATAATCTTAATAAAGTTGCGGAAAAATATTGTAGCAGAATAAATTTATCATAATTTGCACACACACACCAACCCAAAGTTCAGGGCTTTTCAAATAAGAGATTCCATTTTTGACTGAACACCATAAACCAATCTTCTCTTCAATTATTCACTACAGTCAAACATCAATCCAAAATTATAAATATAAATATAAATAAACAAATATAAATAAATACAATCTCCAATAATAAATATAAATATAAATAAAATATAAATATAAATAAATACAACCTCAAAATAATGGTTAAAGATCTAAATATGCCATATTAGAAAATTCTTTCTTTGAAAAAAGATTGTGTCATTTTCTTTCTCATACTTCCTCATTTACCAACAAATATTTATTTTTGCTAAATGATAGATATTATGAAGAAATTAATGCAATAAACTTCACTTTTTTTTTTTTACTTTAGGTGTAGGACTTGTAGCATGGTCTCCTATCAGTATGGGCCTTGTCAGTACTAAAAGTAGCACTGAAGAACCATCAGCTCAAATTCTTTCTCGATCTGCTCTGAAGGTAAAAAAACAAATATATTTCTTTTGATTACCTGAAATATAAAAAATGCTTAAAAATAAATAAACTATTTTCAGCATAACAAATATACTTCATTTAGTTGGAGTGAAGATGAAACACAAACAAGTAATAAGGATAGTAGCAAAGAGGTAAGATTATTTCCATAACATCAAAATTTAGTCCGCTGATTAACATTATTGACAGGAATAAAAGCAACCATGTCTCAAACGGTAACTCTATCCTCAACTTTAGACTTACTAAATACATACTATCAATATAGGATATTAACGACAATATCATCAAACTCGTTGTACCAATCATTCAGGAAACAGCATTATGAATTCTTTGATGGTTACAGTATTATAGAATTCAATTATATTTGTTTTTTACATGGTTGAAAAAAAAAAAAATTATGAAGAGTTTCATTTATAATGACATTGTAACCACAAATTGAATGTATTGATTTTGTACCAGGAAAACTCAGTATAGGAGATTTTCAAATTGTCTTCCCATTTAGTGCAAAAGAAAGGGCAGCCTTAAGTCTCATGCCCATTTGGAAATAAAAAGTGAGACAAAAGGTCCTGCATTCTATTGTCAAGATTAGTACATCATGGAATACCTAAGATATTAGGATCAGTGGTGCTGACAATGAGTATTTTTTTTCTCTTAACACGAGTTATCATGAAGCCCTTGTTGATTTGACTGCTTTTAATACTCTAGGTTTTAAAAAAGCAAGAATCATCACAAACATAGCAAGAATTTTGTAATTAACTCCGCTTTGTCAATAAAAAAGACAACAAATGTTAAGAAATTGCAGTCAACAACAAAATTGAATGTATTACAGCTTAATTATGCTGTAAGCCTTTGTGTGTATAATATTTAATTTATACTTTTACTTTTATACTTATAAGGTTATGCTAATTTCTAGCAGATTATATAGATACTTCCTGTATCATTTGGGTTATTCATGGTAAATAAATAACTAAAGTTCGAAGACTGCTAATAGATTACTTATATATTTTTCTAAATAAATAAAATATGATACATAGCAAAGTTTTAGAAATAAGGAGTTTCCAATTATTTATTTGTCGAATAAGTAAAGAAAAAAAGGAAAACAAAAATTCCTCAAAATTTAAGGATCTTAACTTAAATAATTTGTATCTTAACAAAGATACAAATATCAGAGAAAATCTCATTTAAAAGTTTTCATCTACCAGACAATTTATTTTTTCTATATTTCATGTAATCCTAGGATTATAAGTAAAAATCATTTCATCATTTCTATTATTAGGGTTGCTGTGGCAAAGAAAAATCAAATTTAGGGCAGGCAGAAAGACTCCGCCTTGTTGAAGCCATAGCTGAGAGACTTGGTTGCTCACTCACTCAACTTAGTATAGCATGGGCATCAAAAAACGACTCAGTCCAGTGCCTATTACTAGGAGCAACTGCAGTACAGCATCTCTACCACTGTATACATAGTCTTCAGGTAACTACAATTTGAATTACCTAGTTTCGGGCTCTAAAAGAAATAGCACTCCATTTGTTATCCAGTTATAAATTTTATTTACACAACTAAAATTATCATTAAAAAATTATTTGTTTATTGAATCAATCATATAAATAAAAAACCTTGTGTCTATCAAAAATTATTATCTATTACAATTTCTAATTAATTAATATTTAATAATTTTATCTCTTGATATAATAGTGACAAGTTCTAAATTGTTCTTTAAGAGACTTCACAGTGAAATATCATTTTGTATGCTGTTACGTATAATTACTTTCCTTACATTAATTCATCAAACATTGTTGGTATTTAAAGACATTCTCATCATTCTGAAAACCAAGATCAAATCCTAAAATTAAAGACCAGAATATTGTACTAATTAACTAAGTTATTGATCAATCAACTGAAATCTTAGTTCATTTTTTTTTTATATATATATATTTATGTTAAGTTAAACTGGTTCGTTATATCTGCTAATTATTTATATTAAAAATACCGATAAGAATTATGAAAGTTATTATTTGATTTAGTGAAATGATGTTTAAAAGTAATATAAATAAGAATAATTGGATAAAATTTATAAGTTCTTAAGCTATTAAAATTTATGATGTAAATATATTTTTAAACATATTTCATAATCTTATTTATTTATTTATTTATTTATTTTTTACTAAAGTTAGTACCCAAATTAAACCCTGGTGTCATGTCTGAACTGGAAAAAGCTCTGGAAAACAAACCAGCCCGTGCTCCGATGGTTTCAACTCTAGCACTTAGATGACAGGCAGCAGTCCCGCCGGGGAGCGGGACTGCTCAGTTACTTCCAGAATCACCTAAGGCCCAAGAAGAGGCTCAGGAAAAACACCAAAAACTACCATTCTGCACAATACAGTGACAGTATGCCGATAGTCCACCATAGCTACCAAGTAAGTTCCTAAATACTGAATAATATTGTGTCCATGTTTCAGTAGACTTGTTTGGTCAATCATTGTTTTCTGCAATCATTGATTTCACGATCAAATTTAAAGAGAGTTCCATGAAAGAAAGCTTTTACACTCCCCAGTAAAAATAGATCATGTATATATCTAAATGAGAAAAGCAGGTTTAGCTTTTTAAAGCTTGATTTTTAAAATTTCGTTGAAAATGTTGATTTTTTATGGATGGTTCCAACACCTGTGAACCTTTACTGCTGACACAGAAAAACCAGGAGAGAGATTTGCTCTTTTTTCTGTGATCAGGTAACTATTTTTACCCCTTCCTGGCCATATCTGACATATGGGAAGGAGAGGAGAGAGCCCTTTATCCTTCAGAGTATGATTCTTTTATCCTAAAGTTAACCAATCTATTCTAACCGGAGGGAGAGGGTTGAGAATTGTTCCATGATTTGGCTATAGAAATAAATATCAATCCCTACAGACCAGATCCTAACCTGTGGCCCTAGACTGTAGGTTGTAAAGGTCACTATGTCACTCTCAGCTGTCAGCCTCACTCTGGTCAAGTAACTTTCCAACAACCATAAATCCATAATATGCTATGGATCTTCCATAAATTACACCTTTTCAACGACCCAGCTTGTAAAGCATTCACAATATTAATCTCTTATCTTAGAATCCGAGATCCTGGGATATTAAGTCCTACATAAACACACCATTACTATATAATAGTAACAATAAGGCTTTGTAACTCCAATGTTAATACCATCAACAATCCTTGCATATATATCTACGACACTGAACCCTGTCAAAGTTAAAATCTACAAGGCTAGACAACAGAATCCTTCCACTTTATCTTTATCTACCCTTATTACACGGTGGGCCAGACCCCCTTACCGTGCACCCCCCCACATCCCTATAAATTGCATATCGTTGTGTTCCTTGTGACAATTTATTAAAAAACAGCCAATGTTCCCACAAAAAAAAGTGAACGAACTGCCCCAAAATGGCGTCCAAACATGGCGGATTGACTACTTTGACTTTAGTTAGTTTTTTTGTTACTGAGAATCAGCATTTGGCTTCATTTCATCATAGTTGGTCTTTTATTAAAGATGGATAGTCAGAGAATAATAAAACATGAAAAAATATTAAAAACTAATAGGCTTAGGCATAAAAAAAAATCGGTAAAGTCAATTTTTTTTACAAAAAAATTTTCAAGTTGAAAATCAGGCGTTGTTTGTAATTAAACGGTCAACAATAATGCAAAACGTGCTGAAATAAAACATCTGGAGAATACATTTCTCTTTCTAAAATACTGATTACTTTTTAAAATATTTAAAGCAGTTCCGTAGAAAATGTACTTAAGCAGCAGAAAAGCGCTACTGGCGTAGGTGCCTCCCTGCCCACTCAGTACTCATAAATGGCTTAGTTATAGTGCTATAATAACGTTTTTGTTATATTATATTGATTATATTAACGAAAAAATATTAATACAATAATTTAATTGTCAAAAATTTTTTTTTTTAATTTCATTTTTAATTTCAATTTTTAATTTAAACTCTACAAATGTATTAGAAAATGATATGGAAGGACTGTAGTTTTGTCCCTTTACAGGAAATGAGATACTAGGAAATGTTATTCGAGATTACTTACTGTTTATAGTACCAAAGAAAGTCTACTCAAGAATCACTCAAGTTGCACATTGGAACATAAGTTGCAAATTGGGACTGTCTCCACTTTAAGGTAGGTTATAGAGAATTCCACAGAGAAAGAAAAATGGTTCTCTATCTGCTTAGTGCCTCACACTTTGGATTGATCGAATATCTACTAGTCTTTCACAAAAGCTCGTTTTCCTTTCAGATTCCTTCAAAAATCTTTTGCAATTGTACTAAACAGGAGGAGAGCTATTTTCCTTTATCGATAGACCTCTCTATGGCCTGCTTCAAAGTGAAGATAGTCCCAATGTGCAACTTCAATAGCAATCTAAAATAAAGTGGTTTACACCATTATAAACCTCGTTTACTTCCTCCAAACCTGCTTGCCAACTGCTTAGAACAAATCTTTCTTGCTGATGAAATGGTCTTCACCATAATAAACCTGCTTAATATCATCCAAACTGATCAAGCATTTTGACCCCCTTTTAGCAGCATCTTGAAATATTCTGTTCATTTGTCTACTATATATTCGTTTGGCCATATAACGGATGCTGATCCTTGTTTTCTTTTCCGAAATTTTGGCACTTCCTTTGTCGTTCGCTTAATTTATTTTTCCAATGTTTGGGTTCAATTTCGCGTTTTCCCTCATTTTGAGACCAAATACTAACAATCAGTTCCAGTTACCTAGAAGAACTTAGAGCTTCGCCCTTTCCATATTTCATTTGTGCAGAGGGAATAATGCATTTAATATTAAAAGTTCATATTTTTTTGATATGGTCCAACTTCCGAATAAAATTGAGGAAATAAAAATGATTTTTTTAATAGCGATATATGAATCTTACTAAACAATCCATCACCTATTCATTAAAAGTAGTTCTGATTAGGTATATATTATTTTAGTTTATAAAACAGATATTAATATGACTCATTTCCGGGGAAGAATATACAATTTAAATTACCTCACGGTAAGGGGGTCTGGCCCACAGACTATATGATCTTTACCCACCACCTTATAAACATTTATTTATTTAAGTGCTATACTTTTTACTTCTAAATGCCACAAGTTCCAGATTTTAGATATATAAAATATTTTCAGTTTCATCAAATATTTTAAAGCTGTTTATGTAGATTCAGTATGTAATAAATTAAATAAATATATGTCTAAGCCTTTTTAAAGAAGAGTGGTGAATAGTAAACTGAATCAACCTTTATAATAAATGAATTGGTAATTTTCTTTAAATCACACTGTTAACTAGCATCATATTTCATTTTCATGTTTAATTTTTTTTCTATAGATTGGTTGGGATCAGGAGGAAAGTTAGGCAGTTGTCTTCTTTATTGCTTTGTTCGCTGCCAAGATTTGACAAGGCAGAGAAAAAAACAAGCTTCTTATGGGTAAGATAAACAACCTGTAACACAGGTATTCACTATTTTTATTATTAAGGGTCAATCTCAGATTACTTACCAACATTGAAAAATTTTAGTTATTTAAAATATTTGAGATTTTTCAAATACTTGTTTAAGATATTGCCATGATCATCATACAGTGATTTGGGAGTATTCAACTGGGAGAACCTACAATTTTTAACTTAAAAGTTTATACTGTAACACTGAGAGCTCAATCTCATTACTAACAAATTAAAATAGGCTTTCTTATCCATAATAAAAATTAATATTGGTGCCTGTATAATTATCAATATGGGATATTATGATAAAGAAAAAATATATGAAAAACTTTAAAACCTTAAATTAACTTTAAACTTCAATCAAGTCACAAACTGGCCTATTTAGAATCTTATTTTAAGTTATTAAATTAAGACATAACTGTCTTTAAATCATTGTGTATGCCACTAAACAAACCTTCTTTTTTTTTTTACCTTTCAAACTACTTTCATTAGATTTCAAAAATGTTCTAACAATTTTTTGGGTTTCTATAGCATTCCATCTCAAATATCTTTCGTCTTTTAATTTTTTTTTTAAAATTTAGCTTCAAATATAAATCTGCCCTGGCCTCCAAATTGCCTAGTTATGCCTCTAATATCAATATAATAACCAAAAATAAATTTTATGTTTTTTGCTATGGTATTGACAGGTGTTAGGTTTCAGAGCTGACATTTCAAGTTTAAACTTAATGTAAGTTATTAAATAATGACTCCAAACTGGAAATCTAGATTGATTTTTGTTGCCTCTAACGTCATTTTTTTCAAATTAAACAAGATCATCATACATTGAAGGAAAGTAGTAAAAATAAAGCATTGTGGTGTTGATAAATCAAAATGTACAAACCTGCAGCGGTGCCCCGAAGTGGGTTTGATGGCGCAAGTTGTGTCATTAAAATTTTTGAGGAGGCTACATTTTGACGCAATTTTGAATTTTTGAGGGGGCACATTTTTATGCGGTCATAAATTTCTGAAATGAAAATTTTCTCAACAGAGGACAATAGGAAAACATGGATCAAACCACAGCAAGTGTATTGTACATGATCTACGATTTTAAATTCTACTTTCACTGACACTGTTTTTTAGAAGGGAGGATCAATCAAATATCTTAGGATGGGAGGGGAGAGATTCATGCACCATCGACCTTGGGGTAGGCACTCCTTACAAACTTGATTATCAACCTTCTGAGTCAAGGGAACAGTGAAAACTAATCGCTAAAACAAATTTCACAAATTTCTCCAAAATATTTAACAGTGATATTGAAATCTGAAAGTTTTCATTTTGGTTGGAGTAGTGAATATATATAAACTTCGTGATTCACTTTCTTTTCTGTAAATTTTGTTTTTATACCCATAATTTTAGGAAGATAGTAGATTCATGGTTGAAACCTTTTGGAGAAAGACTTACTTGATAAGAAAAAGGAACTTTTCTATTATTCTTAAGTAGTATTGCAAATCTGGAAGAGTACATGGATTGGCTTAGGCAAAAGTAATGTCAGTAAGGACGTCATATTGGCAAGCAATCTGAGATGGCTTTTACATAATAATTTATGTACAAACTTTAAAATCAATGTGTCTAGGAAAACAATCTGCATTATTTATAATTTCAAAGACAATGTAATTTAAACAACATAAAGCTTTTTTTATCAGTGAATTTAAATAGGTGAAAAATCCATTAATGAAAAATATTACTTTTGAGCAATTTTTAGTCATTTTTCCTATATCTTACAATAAAAAAATAAACATAGCAATTAAAAAAGCTGAAAATTCACTGTTCACTGATTAATAAAACATAAATTCCATTAAATTATAATAGTTGGGGATATAATAATTTTTTTTTTTTTTTTTGTTACCAGTAAATTTATTAATT